TTTTCTTAATTTTTCTCAGAGGTGAGTGGGATAAGTAGATGGTTGGATATCTAGCGTCCTACTAGTGAAGGGGCTAGCTCGTAGGATGGAAATAGGGTACATCAGTAGCGGAGATGGTGGCTCTTCTGCAGTAAGTCTTGCCGGAGTGAGGTAAGGAGGATTGAGGGGGGGGTTCTGAGTCGTTTTCTGAAACTTTCAGAAACTTTGCCTATTTTTGAAGGTTGTTGTAGCAATTTCCTAAGTAGCTCCAATTTTTCTTAGCCACTGCCGGGTAATGGTCCCGATATCTTAAAATTTTTAAATTCTATGCGAATTCCATATGGGACACTGGGCCCGGTTCCCAGCATGTGCTGCTCCCCACTTGTTCCCATTAAAAAAAAAAAAAAAAAAAAAACCGTGCGCACAGAACAACCATAGAAGCGTTTTACGATCCACAGACCGGTCATCAGGATATTGTCGCCTCCACCCCCCACTGCGCAGATAGCAAGGTCCTCCTTTAAGGACCTGTTTACTTCTCGGTGCGCCCAAAGGGAGAAGGCATTGTCGGGCCAGCAGAAAATAACTCTAGATTGCCCCCTGTCCAAGGAGGAAATCTGGACGGCGATGATGCAGATGGACGAAGAGAAGATGTTGGGCATAAACGGGCTCCCGAAAGAGTTCTGGGAGACTTTCTGGACTCAAATGGCCACAGACCTGATGGACTTCTATAGTCAGGTGTGGGAAACAGGGCGGATGGGGGAGCTGGTGGGGCAAGGCATTCTCACTTTATTATACAAAAAGGGAGACAAAATGGACATTTTGCTCACGGTGGTGTACAAAATGTTAGCAAAAGCCCTGGCAAACCGCCTGATCCTTGTCCTGGACGATATTATCCACCCGACCCATACCAGGTTTGTCAAAGGGCGCATGATTCATGATAACATCCTATTAGTTAATGAACTCCTCAAACTAACAAGACAAGATAAACAAAATGCAGCGGTGGTCTTCATCGATTTTGAAAAAGCCTACGACCACGTGGACTGGCATTTCTTAGACAGATGCATGGAAAAAATGAACATTGGGCCTGTTTTCCGGCGTTGGACCGAAATACTGCATCGCAATGCCACTACGTGTGTCCAAATTAATGGAAGGATCGCGCCGGTCTTTCTCGCTGCAACGGTCGGTCAGACAGGAAAACCCTCTGACACCCTTCCTCTTTATAATTGTAATGGAGGCACTGGCAGCGAACCTTCGTGCCAATGAAGATCTGAGGAAATTGCAAATTTCGGCCATCCCAGAGGATGGGATCCCCATCTGTTCGATGTTTGCAGATGATTTAACAGTTATGGTGGATGCCACTGCAACAAACATGGATGAGATCAGAAGACTTTTTGACCGATTTATAGCGGTCTCAGACATGAATGTTAACTGGGGAAATAAAACTTTGGGTTGGTGGATCCATCATCAAGGGGTGCGCCCCCCGGAGCTGCCACGTGTCAAGTGGCTCCCAGAAGAAGCCCCGGCTAGGGTACTGGGAATCATGTTGACAACACTAGGTAAACCCGCATCGAATGATGAATGGATAAACCCGCGTTAGAAAAGCTAGCCCACTGGAAGGACCAACAAACCTCCCTAATCGGTAGGGGCGCTGGCGATTAACAGTGGGGTGTTGGCGGCCCTTTGGTATACATCCGCAATCTGGGCTCTCAGTAAGGAGGCCATCCGATCACTGAAACGACAGTTAACAGCCTTGTTGTGGAGAGGTAATGGTGAGCTCTCGAATGTCATCAGCAGGGTAGCTTGGTCATCGGTGGTCCAACCCAAGGACAAAGGGGGGGTGGGGATTTTGGACCCGGATACACAGGTCACAACCTTAATGGTTCAATGAGTCAAGAGACTGCTCTTTGCACATCATCTCCCATGGTATGCCCTTGCACTGGAACAGATAACCAGACTAGCTCCACAAGCACCACAGGATGTTAGCCCGTTGACCTGGTTAGAAGACCGTTTCTGGACCGTGCCACGCAACACTCGTGATAGTCAAGGATCGAACAGCGGAGCGATCCGTGCGGACTTGGCCAGGGACGACTTCTGGGCCAGGGTCTTAAGAGTTTGGCGCCAACTTCCACTTCCTGATAACCCCCCGCTGACGAGGTGGGAGGAAGTGATGCGTCAACCCCTCTTTGGAAATAGGAGGATTACGGACAGGTGCGGCGGAGTGTATTGCAGCTCAATCACCCCGTGGTGCAGCTGGGTCAAAAAAGGCATAATTAGAATAAAGGATATTTGAGACTCACAAAATGGGAACTGGAAAACGGTGCCGCAGCTGAAGGTCACATTAAAATATTGCCACAATGTTGAAGAGAACCTCGAATTGCTGATCTTCGCTATTCCCCTAGATTGGGTGCGCATCCTGCACAAAGGGCTGCGACTGGTAGAAGGGGACTGGGTAAATGTTATGGGGGACTCAAAAAGTGTAGGAAATGTGGTGGACGTACGAACGAATGAAACACTGATTAACCTCTTCCATAAAGGCAAAGATAATGTTCTCACTCGGTACAACCCTGAAGTGATGAGATGGGAAAAAAATACGGAACTACATAGGATTCACATGCTGCGGGACAAGGACGTCTGGATTGCATATCAGCCAAATACCCCATTGGCAAAACTCCCCTTAGACCCAGAGGACTGGCAGTGGGCACACCCAAGAAAATGCAGATCTCAGGGAAATGCGAAGTTGTATAATCTGACGGTGAAGGCAACATACCGGCTGCTGTGACCAAAAGTAAATATTAAAGAAAAGGTGAAGGACCGATGGAGGTCCCAACTAAACGTAGGGATTGAGGCTATCCGCCCTATCCGATGGTTCACTGCCACAAGTTCTAGGCCAGCAAAGATGGCCTCGCTTCAGTGGCAGATAGAACACCGTTGCCTTCCCACCAACGATTGGTTGATAGATCGAACCTCTTTAGAGCAGAAGGGGAGGGCATTACCATGGTGTAAATCGTGCCATACTGTCTTCCCCTCCTGCAAAATCCCGGAAACCATAGAGCACATCTTCATGCAGTGTCCGGGGGCAGTTCTTACATGGCGTTGGTGGGATAGGATCTGGTCCCAGTTGGGCACTGGGTCAAAGTGGCCTTGGGATTGGAAGGCCATATTATGCGAGACATGGACTTCCCCCCCAGGGAGGAGAGCGGTCATATGGACCCTGTGGATGAAATGTTGTATACATGCCATAGAGGGGCTCCGCATAGCAGAGGGAGAGGCGACAAATATGATAAAACAATATGTTCAACAAGAACTAACGGTACAGTGGCAAAAAGCTAAAAATCAATTGGATCTGTTTTATTCATCGAAAGATGTAACACAAGCAATTCAGCAATTCTCAGGTGACCGGTTTAGGAGTGAGAACGGGGGCTGGATTGCCTCCGTCAGTTGGGACAGCAGGCCTACCCAGGAATGCCACCAGGAAGAGTTCAAAAAGGATTACCGTAGTTGCTTCAAAGACTGGACATTCGTGGGCCAGGAGATCCCACTGCGACCATCCACAGAACTCCCCGATCCCTTCCCGCCCCACCAGTTGGCAATGGTAGATCTGCAACGGTATGGCACAGATTGAGGAGCAAGGACGGAGCACACAGAGCACACAGACGACGCCCAAAGCATAGTCCATTGCAACAAATCTAATACTAACTCTGTGCAGTCAATCCCCTGGAAACAGGGTAATCAATGCTGGCAGGCCTATAGACTGAAGGTGGGAGAAAGACAAGAGAATAAGGCTTAGGGTTTAAGAAATAGACAGTGGATACCACCTTCAGCAACAGATCATTGAATCATTCAGTATATGAAGCAGGCAACCATCTCCAGCATTTAAGTCTGGATCAGAGAGCAGAGTAGCTGAGAGGACCAAGCTGGCCAAGCCATCGTATACAAGTCCAGCACCCCATTCAGGGTACATAGAGATCAGCCTATTTACAACAGTCAGAACCTAAATCTAGTAGGCTAACTTAGGCAGGGTTGAGGGGTGGTATATCCTTCCCAAGGGAAGTAATCAATGTCGTCCACTCGGACCTCTCAACCGGAATGGGGAGGAGCGTGTGTGTGTGGTTATTGTATTCATCTTTGACTTGCCGGGGGAATAGGAACCAGACTGTCACTCCCCAGAATGGCAGGAGCCAGAACGGAGAGGTTCTGTTAAAAAAAAAAAAAACGCGAAGAGGGGTTGGGGTTTGGCCCTGTAAAGGACAGATCTCCAGTGGAAGGGTGTGATCCTCAGGAAATGCGGAGGTGTTCAGTGGTAACAATTGTCGTGAGGAACGACGGTAATGACGGGTTGATGCAGACAAGCAATGGATGCATTGCGCGAGGGAAGAAGTAGCATCACAAGTTTTAAACTTAGATGGCCATCATTGTGAGCGTTCCGACCCCCAAGGGATCAATATCATTGGATGGAGGTGTAGTATCCATTCTGGCAGAATGTCTTGGGTACAGGATGGCTGGTAAGTACAGATAGACGATTGCAAGAACGAGGCAGTGGAGGATGAGCGGTTTCGCTCCAATCTCTCTCTCAAAAGCACGGAGCCTCTCATAATTAAGACAGGTTTTGAACTTAGATCGGAGAGCCAAGCTCAGTTCACCATCTGAGACAATCGTGTTGTCCAGGGTGTCATGGAAAGAAAACTGTGTTGCCGTTTGGTGTGGACCTGTGACCAGTCATCATCTTAGTGATCTCCTCAAGGCGAAAAGAAACTGTGTTGTTGTATGCAACCCTACCGGCCTGGATCCCAGCCCAGGTAACTGCCTGGGCTGGGGCAATCTCTTTCTCACACCCCCTGGCATCGGGCTGTCAAAAAACATGAAAATGAGTGACATGTGTGAGTACCTTGGACAAAAACATGTGACAGGCTACACAGTGACTGGTGGACTGCTGGTTGGGCTGCCATACCTGCCCGCCCATCCCCACTGGGCCTGTCCATTGTGCCCGTGGTCTCGTGTGGGACACATTACACATGACCCGCCACGTGATTTAAGGATAAGAGAATAGAAAACAAACTGTGTTGTGATTTGCTGTGAGCCTGCAAATGGTAAGTCGTCATTTTATGTCACTCATGAATAGAACGAAACTGTGCTGCTGTTTGGTGCTGTTTGGTGTGAACCTGTGAGCAGTCATCAGCCTCTCCGCTCGTGAATGGCAAAGAGGGCGCTAGGGGCATGGATGTGGGCATCCACTCAGTTAACAAGTCTGAACGATGCGGCAGACAACACAAGGTGGGAGAGGTTTGTGAAGATGGCCGTGATGATGACAAGACCGATGCCAAGGCCACAAATAAGATGAAGAGTCCAGCAGCTGGTGGCAAAGTGGGCAGCGATGGTGTGAGCAGTCAACAAGAGTTGGCTAATTCTTTCACCAGTGACGGAAATGAGGACAGTGTGTTTGGAAAATATCTTCTGGGAATCGATGGGGAAGGAGGAGGGCTTATTAATGACAACCAGAGAAGCAACTGCTGCTCTGAGAGTGACATTCCAATGTATGGCTTCTCTGATGACAATGAGGGCATCGTTAGCAGCAGCGGAACTGGAAATGGTAGCAGTGTCAACAGAAATCGAGGTAAGAAGAATGTAACAGGAGGAGAGAATGGAGATGAGCAAGTTGATACAGGGAAAAAGGAGGAGGAGGAGGAGGGGGAAGGTGAAGATAAGGGATGGGGATGGGGTATGGGGGAAAGGGATAAGTCTCATGGAAGGCAATACGAGTTTGCAGAAGGAATTACATGGTCAAAATTGCTGCAGAGGCAGACCTCCAGGCTAACAAGTGGGGCCTGACAGGTATTGATAATGTTCTCGTTTTGTCACAATTTCTGTGAAAACTTTGTGTCTCTTTTCTTTTTTTTTTTGGGAGTTCAAGAATTCGAGTTCCATAAAACAGTGTCAAGTCTCAGTTGCACTACAGGGTTTGGGTCCTCGAAAAAGCCAAAAAGTTTTATCACAGTCATTTGAGAATGTTCTCAATCTTAAAAATGAATCCAAAAATTTTGCAAGGAAAATGAGCGAGAGCGATAGACGTAAAACCAAATTGCAACATCACATTGAAGACCAGATAGTCGTGTGCCAAGCAGAAACAAGAATGCACTGAGATACAAGCCAATAAAAGCAAGGCAATGAACTCAAATGTCAATGTCAGCCTCAACTTGCCACCATCAACAATGTATCGAATGCTGCGCTTCTTGATTGGCACTCAGCACCCAGCCTATCTCTACCCGGAACCTATACTAGCCTACCACTAATGACGATGCAACCAGCGATCACTTCCAGCCGAAGACCAATGTAAATGACCAAGTCGCCCGTGCAGAGTGGCGCATACACATCAGGTACGTGTCTCTTATCCCCCTCTCTCCTACACCTTGTCCTTCCCACAATGTGCACTTCCTACAAGAAGACCACTATTGCGAACACCAGCATCAGCAAGGTCAGCCTGGCTATGGCTGCCTTGCTCCCGCTGCCACCCAGCAGCACCTACCTCCAGCAGCGCCCGTGTGCACCCCAGCCTCGCAGCAGCTTACCAGCCCCCAAACTGGCAGTGTGGCTGCATGTTCATGCCAGGCATGAATGTTTCTCGACTGGGCGGGCAGTTCCCTACACTATTAAAATCGCTAGCATCACAAATCTAAGATCCGGACCGTCCTAGGTCCTACCGGTCCACGGCCCAGATCATGTGCAATGAACCCAGATCGTGAAGACAGTTATCAACAATGCAATTCCAGATGAATGTCAACAGCTGATGATTACCAATAATCAAGATCGTGTCCAGACAGAATGAGACGAGATAATCATACACAGATGAAGGAGAGAGGAAGGAGATTAGACAAAGGAGAGGAAATAATACAATGCCCACTCCTGCTTCGGGCTCCCTCCTCCAACACCACTTCAATAATCAACAGTCTGAACGAGTATCTGAAGTAACCTCAATGTGCCCACGTGGCACGTCTAGTTAGTCCCTCATCAGCACTGGAGCAATGTCAACATGAAGACAACCACGTACGTATTCACGATCTCTCCACAGTCCTGATCTTCCTCTTCCTCGCAACCAGTCACCTCATGTAGACAGTGTGGACAACGCCACGTCATAAATAAGACAGGTGGCGATGCCACATCATCAATGAAGACCAATAGCAGCGCCACATAGACCAGAAGCAGCGCCACATATACCAGAGGCAGCGCCACATAGACCAGAGGCAGCGCCACATCAGCATGCCATGTAGACCATAGGCAGCGCCACATATACCAGAGGCAGCACCACGTCAGCATGCCACGTAGACCATAGGCAGCGCCATGTCAGCATGCCACGTAGACCATAGGCAGCGCCACATATACCAGAGGCAGCGCCACATCAGCATGCCACGTAGACCATAGGCAGCGGCACATATACCAGAGGCAGCGCCACGTCAGCATGCCTGGCGTACAATGCCAGCATGCTGCCTCTCCCTCGTGTCGTCGTCTGCAGCTCTGATGCACAGCCAGCGTCTAGCCAGCGCCGCACTAGCATAATGCCAGCGTCAAGTCAAAGTCAAGCCAGCGTTGAACCAGCATAGCAAGACTGAATGCTGACCACCTTGAGGCCAGACTTTAAGTAGTGTTTGTCGAGGCTCTCTGGCCTCGAGTCTCCTCCCCTCAGTCGTCCAGATTGAGTCACAGCCGAAGGCCTGGATTGTACAGTTGCAGAATTCCCCCTTGGACTTGATGCTGTCTGGGTACCTGCATACAAACAAGTGTGTGTGCTTGACCGGTGGCCTGGACTGGGTACCTTTGGACTTTGACTGTTGGGATCGCGACAGTTGAGAAAAGTCAATTGTGGCACGCCCAGGCCCTGAATCCCTGTGTGGGGTCCCTTACCTCATTTTTGGCCTGACTGAGGGTGGCCAGGTCGGCCCTCAGATTTCTACGAGACATATGGCATGGGTTATTGCATTCTTGTCGTCCCAGTTTTCGAGTTCCGTCGCAGAAAATACAACAATTTCTATCCTAACCCACGTTCATATGCAGCAACAATGTTAGGAGTAATGGTTAAAAGTTCTTTCCTACTAAACCATCTAGCTTCAGATGGAGGTTGGGATTTGAACTTTACCTTGTACCGCTTCTGAGGTCGTCCTCTGCCACCTGTAGAGAAATAGGCATGTTCCATTATCTTCTCAACTTCGTAGTATCCGAACTTTACGTCATATTATGTTATCGTCCTCGATTTCCCGGTTGCGCCCAGATCCCATATCCATTCCTTTGGGTCGAATTCCAGCTCCTTAATGCTGAGTTCCGACTGGAAGATGATCCAGGGTTTCCTGTGAGAGACTCGAACCTTAAGTTCTGTGGTGTTCTGTTCAGGACCTCTAGTTCGTAAATGTTGTGTTTGATGATAGGGTAGGATATGAACTTGGCCTGGTAGTTGGTCGGGTTCGGTTTGGACACGAAGCGGTAGGCTCTTGTTGGTGGGGTCTGTGTGGTGAGCAGTCCCCAATCTCCTGATTTCCACGTGTGTGATTCTTTAAGGAGGGTCGTCCATGGGGGGGGAATGCTTTGGAGGATTTCTGATAGGTTGGTGGTCACTAGGTGGCATCCTTTTAAGGTTGTGTGGAGGTCCTGTACAATTAACCATTCTTGTTGGTCCTCACACCATAGATGTTGGTCAGTAGGTGGCATCCTTTTAAGGTTGTGCGGAGGTCCTGTA